TCCCCACCTAGCCCACCTGGCCCCTCGGGACACTCCTGCCACCCACTGGTCCCTGTGCCTGAGGAGCCCTGCTGCAGGTACTGAAGTCCTTTCTCCACCTCTTCCTTTCCCAGCCTGTTGCCAGGAGAGTGATGATAGGGCCTGGGTGCAGTGAGCGGCCACTGTCCCAAGCAGTCTGTGCTGTTAGTCACAGTTAGGTAAACGCCCAGTTACGCACGTGGCTAGTTACACACGTAGGGCAGGCGGGCAGCTCTCCCTTAACCTGTTACCAGATCAGGACAAAGACGAGGGCCATGGTCAAGGGCAAGCAGAGGCTCTGGGAAGAGTCTTGTGGGGGATCCTGCCCTGCTGGGGGCTGTTTGCTTAGGCAGAGCAGTAACCACCGTGATATGAGGGGGACATCAGAATGGCCCCCCATTTGCCCTGCCCCACGCCTTTGGCTCTGTTGGTACCTAAAACCATAGTGATTTGTGTGCTTTGAACATTATTCTCCAAAAGGGAGTATTAATGGGATAGTGTTAGGGAAATGCAGAGACCGCTGTGGGTTTCCCAGTGGACAGCAAGTCATGCCCAACTGGTCCAGGTCCCCTGGGGACAGGGCCAGCAGCCAAGGAGAACTGGTACTCAGCCCCTCCCCGGGGTGTTGGGTACACATGCCATGATGCTCACAGGTGTGCCTGGGTGTGAGCGATTTAGGGCAACCAGTGACCACTCAGAATGCTGACTGGCCCTCAGGCCACACCATGTCCTGGAGGTTCCCGTTTGCGCCCTCCGTGAGGGTGTGAAGGAAACTAGAAGGGGCATCTCATCAGACCGTCCTGAGTACAGGCAGCCGTGGGCTGTCTCCCAGGGCAGGCATAGAGCCTCTGGACAGCGCCAGCCCTTGGAACTAGCAACTGAGAAGTTCCTAGGGCTCACACGGTGCTTGATATGTTTTGCTTCGTGTTTTGCCAACCACTTTGAGTCGGGTGTCATGAACCCTGCTCTATACTTAGCAAACGCTAACTCAGAGAGGCGCCCACCTCGTCCATCGCACTCAGGGCTGGAGCTGAAGCTCCGCCTGCAGAACTCCCTGGGTGACAGGTGGCTGGCAGAGGTGGGGGTGCGGCTCCAGCTGGGCAGTGTGGGGAGGGCAGTCAGTGGAGGAAGCAGAGCCTGAGTGTCACCTACTCCTTTGCCCTGGGTGCTCACTCCTGCGTGGTCCCACGGATGCCATCAGACTTTCCCCTGGGCCTGCTGGCAGCCTACAGCGCCCCCGCCCCGAACTCTGGCTTCCATAGTCTTAGCCTCCGCAGGGTCTTTGCTGTCATGCTGGTCAACACCCCCTGTGTGGGCACTTGGGTTCCGTGTTCCTTGGTTCTGCAAGGTCAGTCACCCCGCCTTAGACCACCTTCCATCTTCTGAAAGTAAAGTCCTGCAAGCTGTATGTTTTTAAAGGAGGGAGCAGGTGTTTTTACCAGAAGGGCCTTTGGCCTTGTGGGGAATGGGGAGAGGGAGGCTGAGACCCCTAGTGTCCCTAAAATACTGCTTCCCCCAGTTCGGCTTCTCTGAGGTGTGGCCCACAGCAGACTTGGATGGACCTTGGGGCTCACACGGCTTTGTCTGCCTTGCCTGGGGTGTTATTTCTTTTTTTTTTTTGTCTCTCTCAACTTTTTTTATTTTGGTGGGGGGAAGTAATTAGGTTTATTTATGTATTTATTTTAATTTTTTTAATGGAGGTACTGGGGACTGAATGTAGGACCTTGTTGCATGCTAAGCGCATGCTCTACCACTGAGCTATATTCTTCCTCCTCTCTCAACTTTTTTTTAACCATAAATTGTTTTGAAGTGTAATGTACATACAGAAAAGCGCATGAGTCATAAATGTTGCGGCTCAGTGATTTTTCATGGCGTGAATATGTGGGTGACCAGCACCCAGCCCCAATCCCAGCGGCCCCCTCGGATCCTGATTTGCTCCATGTGATGGAGGTGAGACTTGCCCTTGCATTTGGTTGTCTTCGTCCATTCTCATTGCTGGGGGTGCTCTCCTGAGTGATTACACCTCCTCACTGTGGAAGGCAGCCGGGTGGTTCCCAGTTTGGAGCCACTGTGAATAGTGAGGCTATAATACTTACGGATGGGTCTTGTGGTGTATCTAAGCATTTCTGGTGGGTCTACACCCAGGGAGGAATCTCTGGGCCTGCTTATGCTCACGTGGCTTTTCTGGTTTAGCTCCCACCACCAGCGGCTGGGAGTTTCTGTTGTGCCACATCCTTGTCAGCACTTGGAATTTTCTGCCTTTTCATTTTAGCCATTCTGGTGGGTGTACAGCAGTATTACACGGGGGTGTTACCTTTCCTTCCCCCAGTGACTATTGGTGTTGAATGCTTTTTCTTATGTTTATCACCCTTTTGGAGAACCTTTTTGGTAAAGTACCTCTTCAAGTCTTGGGCTTATTTTTAAAAAGTTGGGTCTTCTGATGCTATTTATTTGCATGGGTTCTTTAAAAAAATTTTTTTTGGAGAGGGTAGGTAATTAGTTTTATTTATCTATTTTTTTTTCAGTGGAGGTACTGGGGACTGAATACAGGATCTCGTTCATGCTAAGCACGCACTCTACCACTGAGCTATACCCTCCTCCCCACCTTTTTTTTTTTGTAATGGTTCTTTATATATTCTGGATCTGAGGCCTGTGCTGGATATATACACTTACATCTGTACCTGCACAAGTATACACAGACATACACACGCACACATATTTATTCAACAGATAGGTGTCCCCGCAGGCAAACATGTCAAAGTCATTGGGGCACAACAAGGGAACAGGGAACAAAACAAAGGCCCTGTGCTCCCAGAGCTCAAATTCTCCCTAGAGGAGACGGACAAATAAGGAAGTAGAAAGAATGTGTTGGACTGAAGTAGCCATGAGGAGAAGAGTTCAGTGGGAGAGGAAGTGTGGGAATGGAGGTCAACACTGTATATATGTCACCAAGAAGGTGACAGGTCAGTAAAGACCAAGGGGAGAGCCACGCAGACACCCAGGGAAGAGCGTTGCCATGGAGGAAGGGCAGGCAGGGCCTAGGAGGGTGGTGGTGGTGGCGGGTAGTGCTGGCCCAGAGTGAGCGAGGGGTGAAGGGAAGGAGGGAGGTTTCAAATGGGGGCAGGCAACTAGGATTCTGGCTTTCATTTCCCTGAGGGTTCTGGGCAGAGGAGGGATGGGGCCTAACTCAGGTTTTAACAGGGCCAATCCAGCTGCTGTGTTGAGGCAGCTCAGGTGGAATCAGGGACAGTAATTAGGAGCCTGTAGCAGTAGGTCCAGCCTCCTGTCCCAGTTTCCCATCTGTCCCTTGGGAGGATGTCCAGGGTCACTGTCATCCCAGAATCAGGCTTCCTTGCTCTGCGCTCAGAGCGTCCTCTCACGGTCCCGAGATGGGTGCACTGCTCCTGGCTGCCATGTCCAGCCCACATCATCTGGGACGTCTCATCTTTCCAGAAGCCCCCAGCACATGTCACTGGCCACACCACACCTGGTTCCTTCTCCACTTTCGAAAACCAACTCTGACAGAGTAACGGGGTTCCTGTGTTTGTCCTCACAAGCCCTCCCGGCAGCACCTCGCTCCCTGCACCCAGCCCCACCCACAGCTTCAAGCAGGGGAGCACCCTGGCAGGAGTCAGTCCTGGCACTCCACCTCCCCGCCTCCTTGGGCACCAGGAAGGATGTAGCTGTAGTTGAGGTACAGACATGAATGCTGAGGTCACACCTGTGCACAAAGGAGAGCGAGCACCATCCGTGTCTGCCAGGACGTTCCCATTGCAGAGGGACCTCCTTCCTTCTGCGGGAGCACATACCTTATCAAGGTCCTTAGGGATGCTGGTGAAATCTGTGGGTGAGCATCTATAGGAAGGCACTGTGGGGCTGAAAGTCAGCTCAGCCATCTCCTCTGGGCTGGAAGATATACAGAGGCAGAGGGGAAGGCTTGCTTTGGGTACAGGTGATGGCAAGGGTTTTAACTGCCCACACGGACTTCCTGAGACCATACTGTGGCCACCTTAGGACCCAGATGTCCTGCAGGACTATGGGGTAGAGCTGAGGACTGCAGGGATAGGTGCCTGGCAGGCTTCCCCAGGGCAAAATCGCAGGCCACACCCCTCTTGGTGCTCTGGAGCTGCCTGAAGGTGTAGGGTGGCCAGGCAGGCTCCGGACCCCAGGGCCCAGGCTGGTCCCGGTGCCATAAATCACTCACAGGGGCCACTGTGAGCTTTACATCCTCTGACTGGCCTGAAATGAGATGCAGAAGCAACAGGGAGAGAAGGACAGTGTGAAAGCTTAGCTGATGTGCCAGAGGTCTGCAGCCCTGGCCATTTCTGGTAACAAACACCCTCCGCCCCCACCCCACTGCCTACCCACAGGAGCTGTAGAAGGCTCTAGTTAACAGTGCAGGAGCTGGAGCAGTGGGATCTGGGTTCCAGTCTTAATAGAGAAAGTGGGATGGGGGCAGACCTCCAAAAGAGGGACACCTGTCTCCAAACTTCTGCATCCTCTTGGGGGAGGCTGGTGGATGGACCCAGCACAGCCCCTAATTCCTCAAGACAGAAATAACTGTCCACCAAAACTCAGCCTGAGGGCAGTCTTGCTTCTTGTAAGAGAACAGGCAAAGGAGAAGGGGTAGCTGGGAGGAGAGGTGGCCAGGAGTGGCGGGGGGCTGTCAGAGGCAGGCATCCTGGGACCTGCCTGGACACTGACAGGAACACCTCTCCCCATCCCAGCCCCAAGGCTTGCTCCTGAGCTCTCCAGGAATCCGGCCCTACTCCCTCTCCCAGCTTAGTCTCTCGGCTCTCTGGTTCCCGGAGAGGGCGCTCTTCCCTCAGTCCACCTTTTCCATTCAGATTCTCAGAGCCCGGACTGAGGGCTACGCAGAACGCGGTGGAGGGGAAGGCAGGTCACCTGACAGGATTCTTTCTGAGCGCTGGGACTCCTGGGGGCGGAATGACGCCTCACTGTGCCATGTGCCAGGCCCGCCCCACGCCGTGTCTTAGATTAGTCCTCCCACAAAAGCAGCTGCTGTGTCCCCTGTGTTCACTCAAGGAAACAGAAGGACAGAGAATTCCGTGGGACGCTCGAGGCCAGAGCTGTGTGGAGTGAGCGCCCCGTGAGGGGAGGCATTCAAGCCAAACGCTGGCCAAGCACCTGCTGCAGCTCTGTAGTGGACATCTACGATGAGGTGAGGTTCGGGAAGGGGAAGAGAGGCTCGAGGGAGGATATGGGGGTGCAAGGAACTGTCTGTGAGCTGGATCTCACCAACACAACCGCCCCCATCCTACGGTAAGCAGCGACGCACGCGGCGCCCCTTCTCCCCGGGCACAACCCACCCAGCGCACCGAGCACCGACATCCTGCCACGGCCTCCCCACTGATGCCACCGCTTGCGCCCCATGCACTCCCAGCGCCTCCAAACCCAGTGCTTACACTGCGTCTTTCTCGCGCCCCAACCCCTGCACCTTCCCCACCGCCCCTCCGGCCCTTTCCCCGCCCCCGTCCTTTCCCCGCCCCCTGTGCCACGCCCCACCCAGATACCCCGCCCCCTGACGCCCCGCCGCCGGCCTGGCCCCTGGCTCAGTCTC